TGGCTTCTCGAGTCATCCACCGTATTGCATGTACTAATCTCGTCCTCGAAAATAATTCCACTACATGGCTTGCTGATAGCCTTAAAGCTTCTGGACATTAGGCATAATTTCTGTTTTTTATTCTGCGTTTGACTTTACTGTTCAACTTCGTATTAATTCTGCGCACGTGACCGTATCATCACTGTGTTTGATTTCTGTGTTCTTGTGATCGGTAACACTCGGCGGCCTCGATTTTGCATATTCCTCATTCTGGAGTGTTCAGATTGATTAGCCACGCCCCTAAAAACATCCTTAACTTGTCCCACCCATTTGAACCACTGGCTGTTTATCGTAGCACCGCTTTTGCGGTGCCAAAATTGACGTCCCTACTTCCATTTAGGCCTTGGCGAAGTATACACAAGCTTTTAATCATAAAAAACACCGTTGCAATACTGGCAAGGAGTTATTGTACATAAGAGGCAAATCAACTACCAAACAAATTGTGGAATTCAGAACACATTTTTATTTGGGAAGTTGAAATCGGAGCAAGATTACGTACATACACGTTAGTTTCAATGCACGGACATCCCAGTTGGAATCAGTTACCATTTGGGCGAATGGAATTCATATTTCAATGGGTCGATTTATGGAGAATGATACTATCAGACAACCTTTTATTTAGGAAAGTCAAGCAAGCATGGAAATGTGCGTCACAAATATAACGTGTATCAGACCAGGGCAGGGAATTTGGGTACGAGGTTGACCAAAAATCAGCCTCCATTAAATCAAGAAGTTCACGAGACATCAGTACTGAACGGAATGGGGTTCAACAATATACTGAGAGCAACGGCGGCGGAAAGTTGTATCACAGTAGTTCAAAAATAATTCAATTGGTATGAACTATTCCTGTTTATTTAACTGCTGTTCTTTTCTCAGAACACCATATTTACCCACTGCAAGAACTGTACAATACTGCACCTCCAGTTCGTCATTTGATCAATGTACCTTGTTCATAAAGTAACGTAGTGCCCCAACTTTGATGATGTAATGGGAATTACGCACCCAACAATGCTCACTATTGACTGTGCGGTATTATCTTCCGTAGAACTAAGGTGATTGCATACCAGTTTTACCACAAATACGGATCGTTAGTTATCGTGTGACAAATTAAGCCTAATATACTGCTGACAAATCAGGAAGATGAAAAGTACGAGTAGATAATCGAAGAGAGATAACAACACGGCTGGCTTTTAAAAATCCGCTTGATTCTGTACCGTTGATGTGTATAGAATGGAGTACACCGAATACTGATTAGGAGTATCATAATAGGAAGGTGATGACAATGCACGGGTGGTGATTGATAGCAGCTCAAATGGCTAAAACAGTGAAGTGATGTGATCCTACCTCAACTCCACTCGTCGCCTCGACCAATTGTAGGAAAGGAGAACCCGAATGGGCGAGACCGTATGAATGAGGCTCACCCGGATTGTAAATCAGTGGACGCACGTCCAAATGTGCATCCACATTGATGGTCACCAATTTTCTCTTCCCGCCGTCCGGTGCATTGCGTGTTCTCCAATAGTTGATCCATCCCATCCCGTTTGCAGCACTCTGGTCATTCCCACCACCCAAACAAATCGGGACCAGCCCGTCCGAGAGCGCGTTCTGTACGAGAGTCTGCAACGTCTGATGCACATGCTCCAACGGGTCACTGTCCGTTTTTCCGTAATCTATCAACTGAACCCCTGTGAGGGGGATTCACGAAACAGGGAACATCAAGACGAATTGTTTTCGCACACACGGAAATTAATGCACAATTTTGGATAGTGAAAAGAAATCAAAACGAATCACTTCTCGTTATGATGACCGTTGACCGTGTAGTTCAGGAGTAAGTGTTTGAAGTCCCAATCCGAAGGTTCGCGGTTCGATTCCTGACAGGGACACACAAAAATACGCACTACTGATGAGTCCCAAACAAGACAAAACAGCTGATCAGTGCTCTTTGTCGATTATCACAAACATTTCGACTTCTCGTTATGTTCAAGGTTAAAGGTGATAATTATTGATGATTCATGAAAACTGCTATAACGCACTAAGGTGACTGTGATTCTGGACGAACTTCCCTGCGCTCTAGTTTTCTCCAAACACATGATGAATTTCATCGTATACAGGACAAAGAAAACGAACTGAAAAGTAATAAAAGCACCATATAATTATTTTGACCTGGTTCAGTTTAATCGGCATTTTGCAGAGGTGAATAATAATGGTGCGAACTTCCACAATCCGAAAAAAGGTCGCGGTTTCGTTCCAAAAAAGATAGACAATCGATTCGATCTGCTAATTGCCTTATGTTCGGATTGGCTGACCGTCTAGCATGATAACATCAGGCGTAACCATCAAGTTGCATAGTTCTCGATACTTGTAGGAAAATTAATCCTGGTCCGTGAACGCGCTTTATTCTGGAAGTTTCTCCTGAAGTTTAACTGTAGTTGGCCGGATAAATGAGCATATAAAGCACTAGAGTAGTGTAGTGGTAGCTCGATATTTATACACCAGAGTGGCTTTATCCACAACAATTCATCAATTGGCAAACCCAATATTATCATGGGCCAGGTTAACAATAATTCGTTTTATTGTAATTCATTTGAAACAGTTTAAATGTTTAGCCCGACATCCAAAAAAGAATTGTACAAGGAGTTCGAAATCGCCAAGTGCCCGAAGCAAATATATATTAGATCGTCTAAACAGTCCCACAGAGCACATTTCAAATAGAACAAAGAGTGGAGAACAAGCTCGTTTTCAGTGATTCGTAGTCATGCCAATTACATCACAATAAATATCACGCTGTTTATATATGTATCAGTATTCAACTATAAGAAAACAAACAGTTGTTTTGGGAAAGGTAAAACAACATCACAGGTTATCTGGGGCCAATTTTGTCCTAGGAACGGGCGTGGGATTCTCAATGATCCCATAATTTCAAATAGGAATTCGTCGTGTATATAGCAAATAAAGCGTGAACTGAAAAGCTAGGAAGCACTGGACAGCTGTTTCGACCTGGTTAGGTTTCATCAGTGCGTACCTATCGACCCAACTGGGGATTGAACCCGGGATCTCATAGGCAGAACGTAAGCATGCTACCCACTAGACGACAAATTACCTATAAGAAGTTGAATCAAATCCTTTATTGCTTTCATGTAACAAGGTTCTTAAAATTTCCAACCGAGTCATCACCCCGGAGGCTAGTGCTGAGATGAGTGAGGTCCGTGGCCTGCAACAAACTCGCAAAGAAAGGTTGGGCTATATCGTGTAAATGAAAAAAATTAACGGTCTAATCAGCTGCCGAGTGGTTGGCATGCTTACATTCTGCCTGTGGGGTCACGGGTCCGATCCCTAGTTGGATCGATGGATTCGCACAGCTGATTAGACCCATTCAGGTCGAAATAATTATCCACTCCTTGCGACCTTTTCGGTTCACGCTTCATTTGCTATATACACGACTAATTCCCCTTTGAAATTGAATCCACTTGTTCAATACTCACATGAAATCTATAATATCTTCAAAAGTAATGTTTCTTAATCAGTAATTATATTGAATTCGAGATATTGAAAAAAGAAGGGTAGCAAACAAGCAGTCCCAAAAGCTAATTTGTGT